CTCACTGGGGTACAGTCCCACACACACTGACTCTCACTGGGGTACAGTCCTCCACACACACTGACTCTCACTGGGGTACAGTCCCACACACACTGACTCTCACTGGGGTACAGCCGGTGTTGTTTATTCTGAGTTTGACTGCAGACGATCATGAGAAAGAGCAACAGGCAGATGACCTTTGCTCCTGCAGCAGCTTTTATTAAGGTTACATCGCTGTCATTTTGTCTGTCACTCTCCTACCTGACTCTATAATTCTGGGTAGAATTTTCCATTTAATGTCTGTCTCCCTCAGACTTCAATCAATTCATTGACGCTTTCTCCACTGCTCTCAGCTGTTCCAAACACTCATGATCATTTAAGAAAACAAGTTCCTCCTCATTTCCGTCTTAAATTTTACTTTATCTGCCAAATATTTACAATTATAAATTCTTGAGGAGGCAATGTCCCAGTGGTATTATTGCTGGACTGGTGATCCAGAAACCCAGATAATGTTCTGGGATCCTGGGTTCGAATCCCGCCATGGCAGATGATGGAATATGAATTCAATAAATATCTGGAATTAAGAATCTAATGATGACCATGTATCCATTGTCAATTGTTGGAAAAACCCATCTGGTTCACTGTTGTCCTTTAGGGAAGGAAACTGCCATCCTTATCTGGTCTGGCCTTTATGTGACTGCAGACCCACAGCAATGTGGTTGGCTCTTAACTGCCCTCTGGGCAATTAGGGATGGGCAATAAATGCTGTCTGGTCAGTGACACCCTCATCCCGTTAACAAATAAAGGGAAAAAACCCACTCACATAACCTGTCCTTGCAGATTGTACATATACTCATTTACTGTCTGCAATGCAGTCAGCTCTTACTTTGTGTAATGACCTTTTCTGTGATACTTTTTAGCATTCCAAATTTGACTATATTTATCTGTTCCCCTTTATCGACTCTGCTTGTATAATTTGCAAAGAAGTATAATAAATTAATGAAACACAATTTGCCTTTCTTTAAACCATGTTGACACTGCCTGTTTGCAGTTTGATTCTCTAAAGTCACTGTTACTCCCTCCATACTGTGGCCTAAAGATTACCCTGCAACAGGAAGGTGAAGATAGCTGCCTTTCTCTGCCTTGATGTAACTCATTAAACCTCAAGCGGTTTTCTCCATCAGGATGTTACTATCAAACCAAAAAGAGAGTTTTGCTGACCTCGCAAATGAGCAATATGGTCTGATTTTCAGTGCTGATGTGATGCTAGCAGTGTAAACCCATACATTCCAACCATAGGCAGGTGGTCCATTGAACAGCATGTCCCATTGGAGTGGGCAATGTGCTGATTGTACTCAATGAGGCTGTGTTCATGGCCTCAGAACAATGTGTCCATCCATAGACATGATTCTTCTATGGGACAACATTTATCAAATAATCCAAATTGTGCTACAAATTGCACCAAAGAAAATGTAAGACTGTCAGTTGGTCTCACAGTGTAATACATTTGTCATTCCTAGAAGCTATATCTATTAGCGAAGGACCACACTTTATGTCGGCAAATGGAATTAGTACTTACATTGCATCTTTTCTCTTTGGGAATACAATGTATCATGGAGGCTTTGGGAATACAATGTATCATGGAGAGTTTGGGAATACAATGTATC